CGACAGCTGGGGCGCCCCGAGCCGGGGGAGCCCGGCGGAGGGCCGGATCTCGCTCTCCCCGTTTTGCGGGCTGGGCGCTCGCGGGCAGGGGTACCCGTCCCTCACCCGAGGGTGAGCTCCAGCCTGGCTCCACGGGGCCAGCCGGGTCCTCGGAGCCCTGCGGGGCCGGCGCGTGGAGGAGCTTTAGGAGCGACTCAGGGTGTCTCCGGGCCGCCGCCGCCGAACCCCGCGCGCGTCTCCACTGACAACGGGGACCATCTGAACCGTGGGCCGCCGAGTGACTCCGTGGATGTCTGAATAGGAGCCCCGGTCCAGCAGCCTCCCATCTCCCACTTTTCTTTCGTTTCTTTTTGTGGGCGCGCGTGCGTGTGTGCGTGTGTTGTGTATTGTGTGTTGTATGTGTTGTGTGTGTATATGTGTGTGCGTGTTTGTGTATTGTGTTGTATGTGTATGTGTTGTGTTGTGTATTGTGTGTTGCATGTGTTGTGTATGTGTGTGCGTGTGTTGTGTATTGTGTGTTGTATGTGTTGTATGTGTGTGCGTGTGCATGTGTTGTGTGTTGTGTGTATGTGTGTGCGTGTTGTGTGTTGTATGTGTTGTGTGTATGTGTGTGCGTGTGCATGTGTTGTGTATTGTGTGTTGTGTGTGTGTGTGTGCGCGTGCGTGCCTGTGTACACGCCGGCCCTTGAACTCGGGGCCTGGGCGCTGTCTGAGAGCATTTTTGCTCAAGGCTGTAGCAACTAATCGAACCACAGTTCCACTTGCAGGCTTTAGGTGGTTAATGAGAGATGTGTCCCACAGACTTTCCTGCCTAGACTGGCTTTGAACCCTTTCCTCTCCGATGTCCTCTAAGGACAGTTTACCAGCCTGGTAGGCATGTTCCACTCAGACACCTGGAACTCTAGTCGGTGAGGAACTCCATCTGTCAAGGCTCCTGTCATCCACTCCTAGCACAAATGTGCCAATCTGCTGCATGAAAGCCAAGAGTCCCGAGCTAGAGTTCCTCTTCCAGACCTTTTGTTTTTTCTCATCCTTACTGGCGCTTGAACCTTTGCTTGCCCTTTTGTGCACATATTGGACTCTCCACCATTTGAGCCACAGCTCCACTTTCTGCATTCTGATGATTTATTGGAGATAGTGTTTCACCGACTTTCCTGCCCAGTCTGATTTTAAACTGCAATCCTCAGATCTCAGCCTCTTGAAGAATACAGGTTTGAGCCGCTTAGGCCCAGCACCAGGGCAATTTTGAGCACTGGATAATGGGTGAAGGAAGTACCCCAGACCCCTCCTGGGAGCCCTTTGAGCTCAGGGATCTGGAAATGTCTTAATGCATTGCCCACCCCCAGTGGAAACACCTCCCATGAAGGAAGGAAGCATGCTTTGTAATCTGCCCAGGGTTACTTTATAAACACACGAAAACATTTAGAAAATCCTAATGTCTCCTAATGGAAAAGAGGCAGAAGACTTCAAAATTTTTTCTCCTAGAGTTTTTCAAATGTTCCAAGTTTGGAGATCTTTTGGTTCACTGGATCCCTATTCTCCATCTCAGTGCTACTCTTCTGACTTCTCCCTGTCCCTAGGTCTCGCTAGCGAGACTATAATGACATACTGTGGAAACATAGTGACATCCCCAGCCTCACCCAGGCCTCTCACACCAGATACCCAGCTTATGGAGTTCTTTTACTAGGTATACAGCACCCTTATTTAGGCTGTGCATTTCCAGATTCAATGTACTGTAATTACTAACTCACGTTAAATGCTACCTTGCCCTGTCTGACAAGGTTGAGTCCAAGGTGGGAGACAGGAATGGAGGGGCCTGTGCCTCTCCGGAAGGACCTTCTCTTCAGCATGGCTTACTTGAGTTTAGGGCACAGTATCCACTTTCTAGAACCTTCTACAGTTTACTATGGCAGCCATCTCTTCCTTAGGCTGAAATTTGCATCTGGGGTTCTCAGTTGGTCTCAGGGGTAAGTTAAGGGTGGTTCCAGGACCTCTGTTGTAACCTGAACTGGTTTCACGGGGATAAGTTGACCTTTCAGAGCCTCCTAAGACCGCTTAGCCTGCCGCCTACACCGTGATGAGACAGCACAGGGTGGGAGAATTTTTATTCAGAATTTAAGGAATCATCTTGGGCCACACAGGCACATACTCCACACATTCCAATCCCAGGACTTGAACTCAGAACTTGCACTCTAGTGTGGCCTTTTCAATAAAGGTAGAGGCTCTCGACTTGGGCCACAGCTTCACTTCTAGCTATTTGTGGTTAATTGAAGATAAGAGTCTCAGGCTGGCTTCAAACCTTGATCCTCATATCTCAGCCTCTTGAGTAGCTAGGAATTACAAGTGTTAGCCCACTCTTGTCTGGCTAAGGAATCATCTTAATCTGACATCCTGGCTCTTAGAGATAAAAGTCTGGCTTAGAAGCTTGTTCTTTTCACCTTGCTCACAAATTGCAGTGAAAGGACTGTTCTGGGTCTGGGGCCTGCCTCTAACTTGAGGATCCTGGGTAAGAATTCACATCAGGCAGTTGTTAGAGACTTATGACCTTAGGGCCATAATGTATATAAGTTATAGGTTTAACTTACAGAAAGTCACCAGGAGTATTTTAAAACCTTAAAAGAAATATGCTTTCAGGGCAGTCTCTCTTTCTCTCTCTCTCTCTCTCTCTCTCTCTCCTTCTTATCTGGAAAGCCCTCTCTAGCATATAATACCCAGGCTCCTTGGGGATTTGCCTCAGGGCACAGCAGTGTCCCATACTAGGAAGGAGCTTGTGATACATGCCTGCAGGCTCTCTACCCAATCTCTTTCTCTCTACCCATAAATGCTTTCTGCTATTGGTTGCCCTCTGGAAGAAAGGGAATCAGAATAGGTTTTAGAAGGAATAGTGGTGAGGACTGGGTGCTGAGAGCAGTCTAGATGCAATAGGGTGGGTGTGTTTAGGTGGGTTTGTCCTAGTGTTCTGCAGAGAGGGGCAGCCCAGGAGCGGGCTCTCACTTGTTTCTAAGGTTGCTATGGGGTTTGAAGGCCCTGGCCTTGGTACTCTACATTGTTTGAGCTCCTGTCTCTCTGTCCCTTCTGGTCCTTGATCACATTCCTAGTTAGTTAGTTAGTTAATTTTTCCTGTGACTGTCCTGGGGCTTGAATTCAGGCCTTGGGTACTGTTCCTTAGCTTTTTCACTCAAGGCTAGTGCTCTACCACTTGAGCCACAGCTCCACTTCCAGCTTTTTGGGTGATTAATTGGAAATAAGAATATCATGTCATGGTATGTTGAAAATGAACTTTACAACATCAGTGGGGGGAGGGGGAGGGAAGGGATAGTGGGACAACATCAAGGAAAAGAAGGGGTAACAATGATCGACAAGTAATGTACTCATTGCCTTACTCATGTAACTGTAACCCCTCTGTACAGCATCTTTACCAAAAAAAAAAAAAAGAGTATCATGTCATGGACTTTCCTGTCCAGACTAGCTTTGAACCTCAATCCTTGGACCTCAGCCTTTTGCAGTAATGAGTACTGGTGCCTGGCCCTGCTTCTGTTCAATGTAATCTCCTGTGCAGAAAGGACTGCAGGATCACTGGCCAGGTTCAAACATGGTGTCTACCAATACCTAGGACAGTGGAGATGGAGGATCAGGGGTTCCTTTCTCTCCTACCCTCTTTTTTCTTCTTTTTTTCTTTTTGGTAATGAGGATTAAACCAAGGCTCTTATCCTTACTGGACAGGTCTATCACTTGAGCCACAACCCTAGCTCTTTCTGCTTTAGTTATTTTTCCGGTAGAGTCTCCTGTTCTTCACTTGAGGCTGGCCTAGATCAAGATCCTCTTCGCATCTTGTCTAGATAGGATGACAGGTGTGTGCCATCGTACCTAGCTTTCTTGTTGAGATGGGGTCTTGCTCACTTTTTGCCCAAACTGTTTTCATATGCTTCTCAATCTTCACCACTCAAATAGTGAGAATCACTGGAGTGAGCCACTACAACTGACCACCAGTCAAGTAGTAAGAATCACTAGAGTGAACCACTGCACCTGATCTCTCCCCCACCCTTTTCTGAGCCATAATGCCACTTCCAGTTTTCTGGTGGTTTGTTGTAGATAAGAGTCTTATGGTCGCCGGGCGCTGGTGGCTCACGCCTGTAATCCTAGCTACTCAGGAGGCTGAGATCTGAGGATCACAGTTCAAAGCCAGCCCAGGCAGGAAAGTCTGTGTGACTCCTATCTCCAATAAACCACCAGAAAACCGGAAGTGGCGCTGTAGCTCAAGTGGTAGAGCGCTCGCCTTGAGCTGAAGAGCTGAGGGACAGCGCCCAGGCCCAGAGTTCAAGCCCCACAACCGACCAAAAACAAAAAAAGAGTCTTATGGTCTTTCCTGCCCTGGCTGGCTTAGGACTGCAATCCTCAGATCTCAGCCTCCTGAGTTGCTAGAATTACAGGCATGAGCTATCCGTGGCCGGCTTGGGGACATTTTCAACTAACACTCTATACTAAAAATGAATGTCATCAGACTATTGTGTTGTTACGTGATTTTACAGTTGTTAGGAAAAGGATGGCATTTCTTCAGAAAGAAGAGGACATGCTAGCCACCCATGCAGGCACTGGCAGGTGCCTGGACAAAACAGTGAGTCTGGGCAGGTGCCCAGGTAGGGGGAAGAGGGCTTGTCCTCTCTCTGCGTCCTGTGGGTATTGCCAAAAACAGGAACAAACATGAGGCTCTTTGTCCTTGGCCCTGGTAAGTAGGCTCTGGTCCTAAGTAGCTGACCAGGGTTGGAGCTGGGTCTCATATGAGTTGGGTGTTAAGTTCTTCTGTTATCTGGTGCCTTCTCTGAAGCAGTGTCAAAACTTCTCTTCTGGAAAAGGGAGACCCAAGACAAAACAGGATATAGCAAGGTGCATGGATATAATGCAGCCCATCTCAGGCCTGGTGGGGTTCTAGCTACTCATTTTGGAATCAGAGTTTATGTAGGCAGACAGTAGATCTGTTAACATAGGAATGTGTTCAGCTCAGGGTATAAGAATCTTTTCTTCAGTTCTGATTCTTTTGGAGAATATTTTATACATAGTAATTCAAAACACTTATTTTTGGCCAACCCAAGCACTTGCTCATGTGGGATAAGAAAGCCTTGTGGGCGATGGGCCCAGCACTTCGCGAGGTACTCTGGGAAACAGTCAAACACAGGGCTTGAGAGCTGCCGCCCTGGGCAGACTGCCCAGTGAGACAGCCAGGGGTGAGCATGACTGTTTTACCACCTAGGATGGTGTGCAAGTCAAACAAGACAGTCCCTGCTAAGGGGGTGCTCTAATCTGATGCATTCTACAGCCAAGAGACTCTACAGTGACAACAAAGCCAAGAGGGCTCCTGCAGGGGCCAAAGTAAGTGGACAGATAGAAACATAGCATATGACTGAATTTAGGTCATCTGCAAGCCAGGTGCCAGTGGCTCATACTTGTAATCATAGTTACTCAGGAGGCTGAGATCTGGAGGATCATGGCTCAAAGTCAGCCAGGGCAACTGTCTTTTAGATTCCATTCCCAAAATAACCAGCAAAAAGGAAGAGCTGGAGGTGTGGCTCAAGGGGTAGAACACCACCTAGCAAGTGAGAGGTCCTAAGTTCAAACCTGAGAACCAAAAAACCAGTCACCTACAGTTATATAATATTTGTGATGTGGTCTATTTTCATGTTTGACAAGAATATATTTCATGACATGAGAAGATCAGATTTGAATTTGGAATTTTCTGATAAGGTGCCTCAAATTCACTGCAGGGTTGGGACAGAATTAGCCTAGTGGTGCCCTGGGCCTGACCTGCTTGCCTTTACTTTGATAGCCTCACTTGGTACCAGGGAGCCTAGATTGAATGCCATGGATCTTGCACCCTACAGGTCAAGCAACAGCCTCCATGCAGCAAGTTGTTCCATTGTAGCAAGGCCCTCCCTAAGGGAAACTAGAGACTCATAGCGAGGGAGAGGACACAAAAGCTGGACTGGAAGGAGGCCACAATACAGAGGCAAACCTCCTGAGTCTTGATAATCACACAGTCATTGGGAGACATCCTGGAAGATCCTGGCACAGGGGACCCCTTGAACTAAGTCAAAGGGTAACTGTGCCTCCAAGCAAACAGTGGGCCTGGGAAGGTATAAGAGGGATGAACTGAAATGCAAGTGCACCAACCTGGAGGCTCATCCTGTTTGTACTCTGGCCACTGGGTCAAAACTATGGATTTCTTTCCAGTTCCTAGGCCTGTAAATCCTGAGCATGTTTCATTTCAGGCAGGGTTGAGACTGTGTATATAATTTGCTTTGAATGGGACAAGCACACGAACCATGAGCAACTTGGGACCCTTCAATCTGATTAGTGCTCTCTGGGGTGGTATTTCATTTTCTAAGACCTTAACTTACTTAGAAGTAACCCTTCCCTCCATACTGAGTCTACAGATGGGTAAGGCT